AAAAGCCTGAGCAATAAACACCAGCAGAGAAGGTGCCACATTTGGTTCATGCCAGTTGAACTTAATGCTGTGTCATTAAATGTTGCTTAGTAGGTAATGGGGAAATAGCCACAGAAAGTGTCTGTAACACCCATTTTATTGGAATAGCAAAACCAAGAACAGTGTTTGACTCTAATATACAAAATGAAAATTACCCTATGAACTTTTAATCAAAAGCCTAGTGCTAAAAAACAAATTACTAAATTTGGGAAGCCTATAGAAATACTGCAGAGGCTGACAGTAGATATGATTGCTTACTGTAAATATGCTGAAAGTCATCTCAAAAGGACAAATAGGAAATTTCTCAAATGTGTATTACCAGAAAAAAGAGAAAGAAAATTAAATTGATCATGACATGGGATTTCACCTGCCATGCAGCAGCCTGTACAGTTAGCTGAGAAGGAATTACTGTGTAAATATGGACTGTATCCTCACACATGTTGAGTATTGACTTAAATATGCTTTTCCTTGAGATCTGTGGCACAGCTCTCACTGGCTTTACCTAAGTAGCTGTTCTCAAGTATTATCAGGCTTGCTTTTAAAAATGGGTTTACAAGTTTGGCATTTATCTATTCACAGACACGTGTGCTTGTTCTCTGGCAGTGTGCCTCCCATCTTCTCCCACTCCAACTGCCTCCCCTCCAAGATGAGCATTATTCCCTGCCAACCTGCTGGTTTTGGGTGGTGGAGGTGAGTCTTGAATATCAGCAGCGGCTGACTATCACTCTTGTGTACCTGTGCTCAGAGTAAATATCTCCCTCAAAAGCCCCTGGACTACACAGTGGCCTCCCTGTGGAGGTGCTGGCCCACACTGCCATCTGGGCAGAGATCCTTTCTCCACCCTGCTTGTCCCTGCACTCAGGCTTTAGTGCTGCAGGCAGGCTGGTGAGCTGGGACAGAGGAAGGGGTGTCTCCTCCAGCTGGCAAGTGATGTCAGATCTCTCAAATGTCTTTGAACTGTAACCTGGATTAGGCTGTCCTTCCAGTGCGTGTAATGGGACAGCAAATGTTGCTGAGATTTTGTGAGCACAGGCTCACCAGGGGATGCTTACCTGGAGAGAGGTGCCCGGATGCCAAATACACATCTTAGACATGTATTTGAGAGAAGATCCCTTTCAAGAACATCTACTTGAGATGGGAACTTCCAGGGCTGGTTCAGTCACAGCAGACAGGTCCAAGTCCTTAGCAGGAGCAAAGAAGAAAAAGAGATGTTTTATTGCTTGTCAGAGTTTCCCCCCCAAGCTATTTTGGCACATGAGATGAATCTTCACTAGGAGCTGCTTCCAGCTCTAATTAGCTGTCCATGTGTAATATGGGCTTTTATGGTAAGTAATAACATAGGTGAGTACATAAGAGTTCCCGGGGCCTTGCCAGCTTAGTCAGTGTGGTCACATCTCCCTCTTTCGGCTGCTACAGGAGCAGCCTGGAGACAGCAAAACGATTTTTAGTGCTTCACAGTCTTTGCTGCTGTTCAGCTGTGTAGACAGGGTAAACTGCTGTGGATGGTTCATGAATGCAATTGGAAATGTAAAAGGATAGCTTCAAGGAATTGGTCCCAGAGGATACAGTTACAGGTGGCTGTGGGCTTTTTGCATATACCACAGAAATTTGGATAGAGTGAAGGAACTGATTATTTTTAAGAGGAAACTGAGTCAGCAGTAGGTGAGTGCTTCCCCACTGCTTCCTCAGGTAAGGGGTGGGAAATGGCGAAGCAAGAGCCCACCCAAGCCTGAAGGTCATAGTTGTAGTCATTGTGTGGGCAGTGGCTCTCCCTTCTCCCCCCTAGCCCTCGAAGTAGACATACTGTCTGTAGAAATCTCCCCATGCCGGTCATCCATTAGCCTTTGTTTGAAAACCAGCTGCTGTATCTTGGGTTCTGCTAGAACATAACTGAAATTACACACCATTCCCTGCACAGCACAACCAGTGAAACCCTAATTTGTTAAGAATTCACACCCTATTTCCCTTCTGCTTCAGGCTCCATTGTCCCCAGCTGTCCCCATGTCCCAGCAGATGTGCTGACCTCCATATCAGCGTTCCTATGACCTAGATAAAACGAAGGCAGTGCGAGTTCCCCGCTTCCTGCTGCTTTCCAAGGCTCTTGCAGGAGCATGGGGCTGTGATTCAGCTCACCCTGCTTCAGCATTGCACAGCAGAGCTGTGCCTGCCTGGGTGCAACCACCCTGACACTGGGCAGACACGCACCGCCAGAGGAGGGAGCTGCACCCCAGGCACCCCAAACAGGAGCTCTACTTGCAGAGGGAGCATGAAGTGACCAAAAGGTGGGTAGATGCTCTCTCTGCACCCCTGACACCTCTCTGCTTTCTGTCACACTTGGCTGAAGGTGGACAGAGGGTTGAAAAGCTGCTGGGAAAGATGCCAGCCAGACACATGTCCCGTGGTCTCGTGTCCTTCACAGTCACTTTTTTTTTTTTTTTTTTTTTTTTTTTTTTTTTCCTTCCCTGTTTATGTTGGATGAAAAAGCTGCCCAGGCAGAATTCAACCCCTGGATACAAGTGGCGAGGCCTCATCACAGACAAAGGAAAACTGATGTGAGATGTTGTTTATTGTTGTCATGCTGGTTTACATTCCACAAAAGCCTCTGTAAAACACAGCTCTTTAGTTCCCACTTCCTTACAGTTACATAGCAAACCCTGGAACAAAAATACTGCTCCAAATGGGTCTGATCCTGTTCAACATCTTCATTAATGGTTGCATTGTGGAGTCTTGCTCCTTGGAGATACTCAGAAGCCATCTGGACATGGCCCTGGGTAACTGGCTCTTGCTGGCCCTGCTTGAGCAGGGGGTTGGGCCACATGACCTCCAGAGGTTCCTGCCAACCTCAGCGGCTCCATGACTGTGATCTGGGGCATTGCCTTGCCCTCAGCCCACTATCTGCCACTTTACTGACACCCATGAACTTGTGTGTTAGCAGAGGAAGGGAAGAACTGCTCCCCCAAGGACTTTGTGTGAAACGGCTTTGTTCTAGCAGGATGTCTTTGCTAAACTTTGTTTAGCTACAGCCAAAAGAATTTACTAACAACTCCTCCAACCAAGGCTTTCTTCCTTTTCCATCAGTGTTGGTCTTGCCTACCCAATGCATTACTTAAGCTCTGAGGTAGTTATTGCCTGCATGCACAGCACCGTCTTGTCCCTCATGGTGCCACCCGCAACACTTCTCAGATGCTGTACATTTGAGTCTGGCACTCCTAAGCTTTGGGATGTGTCTCAGTCTGCCTCCAGACCTGCCTTGCCGATGCTTCCAACAAGTTGCACTGTGGAGCAGACTGACCCTGAGGCATTGGGGTGAGGGTGTGGGTTTAAATGAGCATGCTGGTTAGTGGGGGCTGCTTAGCCCCGCAGGGATACTGGCAGGAGGAGTAAGCCCTTTTGCTGCAGTGTTACTCTTCTCCTAACAAAAGGCAAGAAGTTCCAGGGTAATGTTTTAGAGCAGAAATTATCAAATAGATCTCTAGGGATGTAAAGGGGTAGCTTAAACTGTTTATTTAAAAATGGATAAAGTAAATTTGTTATTGGGGTTGTAAAATATACAAACCACAAGAAATGAACATACAACCAGAAGCAGGAAATCTGGGAAGCCACACTCGTGCTGGGGGAAACCACTGGAGACCCCATCCTGCCCTGATGTCATTACATGTTTCCTTACCCCTGCAGACACACTGCCTTTAGATCACACCAGCTGTTTCTCTAATGCTGGAGCTGCGATTTTCCTTTCCCATGTCACTCGCTGTGCTCTAGTACACAGCTGGCACCTTGCAGCACATCCAACATCATCTTGACCTCCTCCTGATTCTCTTCTCCCAGAGTGTTTTGCATGGGGATGTCGTTGCTCATCCTCAGTTACTCACTGCTGCCCTCCCAGAACCCACTGGCCATGCCTCTCCCATGATCTCTCTCCTCTTCACAGCCTTTCCCTCCCTATCACCACTTCTGCCCAGATGAGAGCGCCCTTAAAATGCTTTGCCACACTCCATCAGGTGGAAAAGTGGCCGCTGAGTCCTGGTTACAGGGAAAAGAAAACCCTACAGCAATGAGGTGCAGACCTCAGAGCCCAAGCTCCTTACTGACTTGTGTTAAAAACTCACGGGGACTGACAGGTCCCAAAATACATGCTCGTCTTTCACCATGGGCAGGTTGTGGAGCTGAGATGTTTGGGGCAGTTTTGCCAGCAGAAGCAGTGTAAGGGGACACAGGTGGGTGTTTAACATGGCACTTTCCTCCCAGGTGATGGGTTGATGGGGGCTGGCTGTGCACCCTGCTCTCCTCCAGCATCACGGGGAACACTGCTGGTGAGCAGTCGCTCTGGCCTGCTTCCACCAGTACACGCACACACCTGCTTGGCCACAGCATGCAGCTGCATTGGGAGCTTTTGCCAAACAGGACAGGGGAGGCAGGGGGAAGTATTGTTCATGCTGGCTACAACACTTTTTACATCTCTCATACAGGGTCAGCTATCCCCGTGGGGTGCTTAAAATGCTGAAATTCACCAGCTGTTTTCTTTGGACACTGGCTTGTTGTATCTGGACAGAAACTGAGGCGTGCACATCCACTGGTCTGCTGCGCCAAGAAAACTTTGCCCGCTGTTAGGACCTCTGCCTGCTTTATAAACAGAAAGGCTGTTTGCCCTGATCTGTGGCCCTCTGGAGAAGAGAAGGAAGGTGGCTTGCCCAGGGTCACAGGGAGAGCTGGGACAGGGTGATATCCCAGGCTCCAACATGATAGCTTCATCTCTGTCCCACCCCTCCAAAGGTCTCCAGCAGGACCCCACTGGCTTTGAGCAGGGCAATAAAACACACAGCATAAAATCCCAGCACCTGAGGCAAGTGATAGGCCTCGCCCAAGGAGCTGTTTTACAGGCCAGAGAGAAAATACTCAGAATAACAGATGTTGTACAGAGTGCCCATGAGATGCTTAGCACATGGTGGCTGCACACAGGACCTGGGGCTGCTTTCACAGAGGCTCAGCTGTGGAGCAGTTCCTGGGAGCAACCAGTGGCTTTGAATCCTTCCGGGATGTCGCTGTCCAGTTTGGAAATGATTTTGTAAATGGGTTTTTTCCAGGAGGGGTCGGCGTCCTTGCCCGCTCTGACAGCACTGAAGAACTCCCGCAGCGTCAGGCTGGCCACCTCCAGGAACCGCCCTGGCACCTGTAGCGAGACAGGCATCAGCCCATGGCGCCATCGGGTCCCCTGCTCCCCCCTCACCCCAGCAAACCCCATTACCCCACCACCCCTGCCTCTCGGCTCCTCCTCACCTCAAAGTCGTTCCCCTTGTTATAGTGCATGTTGAGGGCGCGGAAAAGCTCTGAGTCCCGGGAGACACGGAGGGTACCAGCATCCACAACGCCCTCCAGCAGGGCCTGCCGGGCAAACTTCTCCACCTGGATGTAGTAAAACTCGCGGAAGTTGCTGAACCACTTGATGAGCTGGGAGGTGATGCAGCGGCTGAACTGCCAGGTGGAGAGCCAAAGGACAGGTGTTAGGTCAGTTTAGAGTCTCCTGGCCCCAATCCCAGCCCTGCCCCAGGGGTGCAAAAGCTTGGATCCCAGCTGCCCTGCGGTGGGGAGGCACATTCATGATTTAATCCCAGTGCCTCAATTGCCCAGCGCAAAGACCTGGCAGCCCAGGTCTGCCACAGCCCTGAGCACCCACTCCAGGGCAGCCTGTGCTGAAGTGGGTGCCATTCCCCTGCTCTTGCCAGCGGGGCAGGGAGACACAAGAGCATCCTCTTCCCTGTGGTTCCCCAGCAAGGTAGGCTGGGTGCCAAGCACTGGATGCTGCCATTTTACCTGCACATCAAGGAAGTAGGTCTTCAGTAGTGTGGAGCTGGGGTAGCGGGTGAAGAAAAACATCAGCTTGGCCTTCTTCAGATGGCCAGGGGTCAGTGTCTCCTGCATCTGCATCGGGGTCAAGGAAAGCCTGCACGCAGCAGCCTGAGCAGCTCAGTGCATCCCTGAGCACTGGCCCTGGCACACATATGCCTGGTGCCCATGATAACCCCTCCCCACAGACTGGCAGCAGGGTGGAAGGGTCCATCCCTGGCTCAGTACCCTTTGGCTTTTTGCTTTGGAATCCCCAGGGAAGCCACTGCTCCCCAAGATGCTTCCCAGGCCAGTGGGAACAGGGATTTTAGTAAGATTCCTGATCCTGACATAGAATGACGGGACCACCAGGATGGCTTAAGAGCAGGCTTGGGAGGTCCTGACTTCTATCCCCAGCTATGCTACAGCATCTAACCAACACTGAGGAGCAGCAGTGCCCCTCCACAGCTCAGGATCCCTTTCCTGCCCACCCTCTTTTAGCTCCCTGTGGAGCAGCAGGGACCATGACCCTGGGGAGACAGGCAGGGGCTGTGCTGTGGCTCTGGAGGACAAGGGGAGTACACCCAAGCCCAAGGACCTCTCTAGCTCCAGCTGAGTTTAGGGACCTCTCCAGCTGCCCCCAAAGGATATATGGGTGGAGGCAAAGGGTGCCCCATCCATCGCAGCCTGCAGCTCCCTGCAGCCATCCCTGCCAGCTGGCAGCAGTGCCAGGCTCTCCATGTCAGCAGGGCTCAGGGACAGGGGATGCTGATGCTGCTGTCTCACGACTGATGACCTCAGTTTGACAGTTCCCCAGTGCAAGTCAAAGGGCTCTGGAGGACCTCTCTCTGGAGCAGAGGGGGTCCCACAAGAGACACTGCCCCAGAGGCCGTGCTGGCCATAGCCCAGCAGCTGGCTTAGCAACTGGCTGTCCTGGCCGGGGTTGGCCAAGCCTAGTGAATAACCCACACTGGATACCTGAAAGGGTTTTCTGACCCCCTTTGAACTGAATGAGCCAGCATGAGAGCCTGGGCTCTTCCCTGAAGCTCCTGACAGAGTCTCAGCCTGGAGTGAGCCCAGCGAGCCCTGTGCTTTCATGGGACATGGCTTACCAAGTGGCTTTCTGCATTTCCCAGCAGCAAAATGCTCTCTCCTGGCATCTGGCCCTGGCACCGGGAGGCTGCAGTGCTGCTGCAGAAGATGGTTGGCTGCCTTTGGCCAGACAGTTTTCAGGACAGAGTCTACTACCCAGGACGTCACCACAGCCAACTCGTGCTTCAAAGCCTGTGAAAGGACCCTTGCTGCTGAGGGCAGGGTACCTGTGTCGCCTCTGTCCTCATCCTCCTCTGGCCCATGCACCTCCATGACACCCCTCCAGAGAGGTGCTTTGCACGGGTCACTGGTGGCAGCAGCGCTGTCTTTGTCCCACCTGTCTCCAAGCTTTCCAGGCAGTGGATGCACTTTCTCAGCACCTTCCTGGGTTTGGGCAGCGTCCCCAGAGTCGCAGACCTGGGACAACTTCTCCTGAAGCTGCCTCAGCTGTTGCTCTAAAAAGCAGAGCTGCTCCTTGAGCTGCTGGCAGCCCTTGGCTGCCACTCTCCTGGCCGCCCTCGTGCCCTGCTGGGGCACCCTCGGCTTCCTCTTGCTCTCTAGAAGCATCTCACCACCCCTCTCCCTCTCGTGACCAAAAGCTGCCTCCAGGCCCTTGCCAAATGCCTGAGGGGTTGGTGGAAGGCTCATGCCTTGGATGATGCTCTCCACTCTGGCCCGTTTGGCTTGTAGGTGCTGGTCAGAGAACTGGTCCCACAGGTGCTGATCAGAGAGCTGGTCCCTGTTGCTAGCACAAGGCACAGGAGCTGGGGCACAGGTCCTGGCAAAAGCCAGGGCTTGCACTCCTTCTCCAGCAGATGCACCATGCTCATAGTCCTGAGGCAGGGGCACTGCCTGAGAGGGAGGGAAAAGGATGGTGGGATCCAGGCTCCTGCCAACGATTGTGTGTCTGAGGAGCTGAGATATCAGGGATGCACTAGGGGAAGGCAAGAGAGAGTCGGTCTGGAGACAGGGCTCTGACTTCAGCCCCTGGCCATGCCCTGAAGTGGCATGGTCTCTATCCTGCTCAGAGCCAGTCCTGCCATCCATCATCTCTTCTTCCTGCCTGGAACCCAGAGAGCTGACCCTCAGCTGGTTGGGGATCATCTCCGGTGACAGACTGGCAGGCCTCCCATGTGTTTGATGTTTCAGCCTGCTAGCAGTGTGGAGCTGGAGAAAGAGCAAGAAACATCAGTGGGCAGAACCTCATACAGCAGCTCTCCATGCACATGGCCAGAGATTTTTCCTCCCAGATTTTCAAGGCATCCCTGATCCCCCACAAAATCTATTTCAGCAGGGAATGACCCAGGCCTCCAAGAAACCTCCAAGCACTGCAAAATCCATGAGCAGGTATTATGACCTGGACTGAGTAGCCCAGAGAATCGTAGGGGTTTTGTGATATCCTCAGGTTAAATTAAGGTGAAACAACACTAAATGACCCATCGGAATGTTTCATCTGAAGTAGAAACAACCTAAACTTGGAAAGAACAGTAAGTGATATGGCCTTTTACTGAAAAATCTGTAAGAAAGAAAAGAAAGGAAATAAAAGAAACAGAAGAGAAAGAGAGTAAAAGAATCCAGATCACCACCCTGGGTTCCAGTGTTGTCTCAGGTCTCATAATCTTGGGTGGTGGGTGCACACCTAGCAAAGTTCTCTGTCACCTCTTAAGTTCATCATATTGGCTGATTTGCATACTAGACAAAGAGAGGTGGTTCTCCACAAACTTATTTGCATGAAAGGCGAGGAAAAGGTGGAGCGTGGGTTCTGTACATGTGTTGAGGGGGTATGGGGTGCATCATCCAACTGAGTTGGTGGTCATGACCTCCCCCTGCCACCTTTACCTTCCCTCCAGCTTTTGCTTCTTGGGTAATTATCCTGCCTTTGGCTCCTTCTGGAGCAGGGTGTTTCCCTCTTATCAATTTTTTTAGCCCTTCTTCAAGGGTATAGTCATTAGCAAGGCCTACATCATTTATCAAGCTCGTAAATTAAAGTGTAGGCATTAACCTGAACATATGGTTTTACTCAGTTTAATCTGACCGCTTTGAGGCTTATCTAGAGAACTTGGCAATACAACATAAGGGAGTGGAGCTGTGCACCCTTCGATGGACTCTGCGCTTCCTTAGGCAGACAGTTCATCCCTTAGACTAACCACAAAGGTCACAGCTTGTCCTTGAGGCATTAACTCCTTCAATTCCTTACAACGGGCTGCCAGGTGTTGCATGATGGCAGCAACACCCTGGACACTGTCACAGCTCCCACCTACCAGCGAGGCATCCATCATGCCTGGAGTACCTTTCACATAGTTTGGGCCCTGGATGTGCCTGGCAGCATGGACTTCCCACACTGCCAACTACACCTGCACCAGAGGCATTTGGGGAAACTCTCCTCTGGGCTCATGGACTCAGGTACAAGGGTGGTGAGCACCAGCTGGAGCCCTCTGCCAGGCATGCCCGGGCAAAGCTGATATTGGGTGCTCCCAGTTGCTGGCAGAGCACAGGGACAGCAGCTACATCCCTGCTGAAGGCATTCACAGTACATAGCAGCGGGGCCACAGCATAGCTGCTGCCTGCTTCTGCCAGCACCCAGCACCTGCCTCCACCGCCTGCTAGCTGATGTCTGCAAACAGTTAGTGCTAATTGCTGTAAGGGGCCTCAGACAAGAATGTGCCCAAGGACATAATTTTGTAACTGATGGGTACCTCCCAGACATGGCAGATAAACCAGAAGACACCTGTGGAAGCTTCTCAGGGACCCTTCCCCAAATTTTAGTACACTTGTGCAATATATTAACATATTAATTACATTCTCTGGAAATAGGTGTGTACTTATCGGAAATTACACGAATGTTCATTTCTTTTATTGTATATAATAAGTGTGCCCTTGTCTTTCAGTATGCATTTTAGGTGGAATGGTCCTTCGGGGATCCAGTGCTGCAATAAAGAATGCCTGCCTTCTAAAACTTCAAACTAAGTCTTAGAGGGTTCTTTTGAGACCGAATTTACAGTAACACAGCCACGAGGGCACAGTGATGAGCAGCAGCTCTGGGGGGCTGGGGCAGCACAAACAGGTTGGTGGAAAGGGGCACAGCAAGGGTGAAAGTGTGATGTGACCTGCTGCGAGTGGCACACACCGGGATGTTCAGGCTAACACAGCACGGGGCTCCTAAGCACTTGGCATAACACTGAATAAAAGGGGTGGAGATGGGGATTACCGGGGAAGAGAAAAACTACTGAGCCAGCAGCCCCGGGTTTAAAAATGTTACGCTGACTCCGGGCAGGGATCCACCCCCTCCACTAGTTAGCTGCTGGGACAGCTTTGCAAAAGAAGGTGCAAAACCTCGTATCCTGGACAATTACAGAGTAACCGTCCCTGGGGGGTGCTTCTTCCTCATCCACATTAATTAGAAGTAGCTTTGCATCCCTGAAGTAGGACAGTTTATGTCTTTTCCAGACACCTTTAAAGTGTCTTGAGATTCTTTTGCTATGACCCAGAAACATCTGATCATGTTCAACACCATCAGTCTCCTGTCTGCATGTCTGCTCCATGGTGAGTCCCCCAGGCTAGTGAACAGTGTACAAAATGGGTTTCTTCTCACTGCTTTTTAGCAGGTTGCCTTTCTTCAAGCAGCCCTGTATTCCAGGCAGGTATCTGGGAGAGCTTTACCTTTTCCAGAGCTCTAGAAAAAACAAATATTTTCTGTCTGACACCACTTGGTTGCTCTCCTGTGTTGTCTTCCCCCACCTCCCGACCATTAGGGTTTCATTTTCCTAACAGTCTGTCATGGGGGCATTAAAACTGCTCAGTTTGCCCATGGCCAGCAGAAGGCCGGGGTCCCAGCATCACCCCTTGCCCTTGTATAACAAGTTTCACCGTCACCTGTGGCCACCCCTTAGCCTGCCAGCCACTTCCAACAAAGCCACACAGAAATGCAATGAAGTCATAGATTCCCTACACCCTTAAGCCAGTCCTTCTACTTCACTCAGTTTGTTACAGAAACACCTTCTTTTGGCACTTGGTCACAATTTCTCTCTTCATCTGTGTTCGACAGCAAGGTCAGGGAGCTGACCTGTCCCCTATGCTGAGGCTTCCTAGCCCCAGAAACCCGGGACAATACCCATCTCATAAGTAGGTCGACTCAGAGCTGGCAGGAAGCCTTTCACTTGCCTAAGGCTTCCAGCACCACCACCTTTCTGCCAAAGATTTGAAGGCTGGGAGAAAAAGCCTGTGGTCCCAGGCCATAGCAGCCCGCCGTGGGTGGCTTCGGCTCCCCCCGCAGCTTCCCCAGCACTGCAGGACCGAGAGGTGCTCCCCCAAGCAAACGGCTCCCGCTGATGCAGCCCCTTCCCCGCTGAGTTAGCAGGTGTGTGCTTCAGTTCCTACTCTTACTGCGAGCCTTCACCAGTACCACCTTCCAAAACACTAAAAATCAGTCGAGGCTCCTCTTACCTAAAGAAAAAGACCGATGAACGAAACGAAGATGCTCAGAAGAGAAGGCAAGAGTGTCCTCTCCAAAACGGGAGCCATCCCACACGGGGCCCCAGGTGCTCGTCCGTGGGACAGCTGGGCACAGAGCAGACTGCCGCCCCTTCAGCACTGCAAATCCCTCCCGAGCCTTCCCCAGCCATCACATCTCTCTCTCTCCAGCGAGCAGTCCCCAACCCGAGCGGCTCGCACCTCTCCACCCCACTCACCTTGTCTCCAGGGGTGCCGGGAGCGCAGTGCCCCGAGGGCAGGTGGCCGGGGGCTGTGCGATGCCGCAGAGCCAGCGCGTCCTCCCGCTGCGTTTAGGTCCTTTAAAGAGGGTGTGGGGAGGCCAGAAGCAGCCAACCGGCTGGAAATGACTTCTGAATATGCAGATGGACGTCCAAGAGGTCAGGTCCAGCGCTGCAGTCCAGCCACCTTCCCTACCACTCAGCTGTCTGTCTCCCAGGCTTGTAGCCCCTGGGGTCGGATGGGCAAGGGCTGGTGCTGAGCTGCTGGCTGCCCTGGTGGGCAGAGGGCCAGATGAGCAATTCCTCCCTAAGATTTGGCTTGGAAACCCCATCCAGGATGCAGGATGGTGAACTGTTGGTGAGATGATGCAAGTACACCAGGCTAGAGGCAAGCAGTGCTGCAGGCAAGAAGGGACCTGGTCCGGAGCTCCAGGTGCCACCCAACTCCCACGGAAAGCGCCCAGGCATTTCCAACATTCCCCGACATAGGGATACAGAGGCATTTTGGCTTGCCTGGGGGTCTGTGGTGTAGGATGTCACCAGAAAATAGAGCAACACAGGAAAAGACCCAGTCCCTTCCTTATCGCAGAGTTCTTTAGAGACACTGCTGCTGCCAGCAGAGCTGGCACCGCTCTCAGCTGAGCACACTCCAGGCCCAGGACAAACCCCTGGGGCACATGTGGTTGCAAAACTCCTAGTGCAGGAGCTGTGGGGTGGGTGGACAAAGCCTAGCCATACATGCCACACCTGGGGCTTCATCTGCTTTGCCTCTACATGCTTACTAAACACGGTGATGTTTGGTGTATTCATTTGGTAGGCAGGAGGCTGTGGCTAAAAGCAGTTGACATCAGGTGGTCATGTTCAAGGATATTAGCCCTCGAAAGACAGATCTTTGAGAAATCCCTGGCAGAGAGCCTTTCTGGCTCAGCTGCCTTTTATTAAAGCAGTCAGCACATCTGCAGATCCTCAGAGACTATCCCCTATTGATTTCTGTTCAAATTATTTTCTTTTAAAAGATCTCAAGGATGTTCATTGGAATTTATATTAGGAGACTATTTTGAAGGTTGCAGTTTACTATTCATATATTATTAAGCAATGGCTAAATTAAGGACATGTGTATAACGGTCTTGACTCCTCGAGAGATGCCTGGCTGCCAGACAGTCTTTCATGACTATCTCAAGTTAATTCTCAGATGGGTCATTTTGGCTTACAAGTTCCTTGGGTTTCCTGCTACCAGTGGATCCCCACTGGAAAGCAGGCAGAAAACAGAAGCTAGCTAGTGCATTCTCAGATGTTTTCAACATACAGACCACATCCAACAAATTGGGCTTACTTATGGACTCATTTGCCCATTTGCCACAGTGAGATGACCTCCCCCATTTCTAACCATGCAACATCCCACTGGCTGACACTTGTGACAGTATCATCCTACATGGGCCAGACCCTATGATTTGTCAAGGTGAGCAGGAAGACCATTGGGACAGCTGTCCAGCAATCCAGTTGGTTCAATGAAGAACACCATGAAATGGCACCCTTTGGTAATACAAAGGTCCATTTATGTACTGGGAATTGTAGGCAACATAACTCATAGGTCACACAACTGTAATGTGAAAATTCCTGTCTCCACATGTGCCGGAGGCAGAACAGCACGTGGACAAGCAGGGCTGCACAAAGGTAGCGACAAGCAGAACACAAGGCTGAAATGCTGGAGTTTCAACCCCAAGCCCCAAATTAAGGTTGACATATGGGTGATTCCCACAGCCCTTCCCAAAGTGGGGTGAGTTTACCTTTAGGCTTCCCTCCAGGGTGGGTCCGGCCTGGCAGACAGAGCCACTGGGTAAATGAGCCCCAGGTGTCCCACATTGAGTAAACAAGGGTCAGGTGTCCCACTTGGGGGTAAAAGCTGGGACCCCTTGCAGGCAGGGGCAGTGTCTGTCTGTGAGGTGGATGTCCTGTGCAGAGTTCCCTGTTGGGGAAGGACCTCCTGCCTCCCTGGGGCTGGGCTCCAGTCAGGTCTGGCTTTTGTAAATGCAGGCTGTGTGGAGATTCAGCGTGTGGCTTCCTTGGTCTTATGTGTTTGGCTTGTTGACTTGGTTATCACCTGTCCCTTCTATGGGAGGCTGCATTTCACTGTTTATTCCACCCATTGTTGGTCATGCGGTGGTGTTGTTGGGGTCAGTGGGATTGATGTTGATTATGTATAGTTTGTCCCCCCAGTGCTCACCCATGTACTGACCCTTTGGTATCAGATACAATTTGGTTATTGGTTCATCTTTATGCTGGCAGTGTCCTCTATGCTAGGCCTGATAACTGGCAAAACAAAGGCATAACACGTTTAACAGGAGACTCTTCAGGTACCAGGGCCCGTCCCTGCCCCGCAGCCCCTGCCCTAGGCGCGGATGGTACCGCCCCTCCGGGCCCGCTCCCCCCGTCCCGGGGCGGTTGGTCCGGCCCCGCGCACTTCCGGCTCGCGCCGGGCCTGCTTCCGGTGTCCGCCCTCCGGCTCCTCCCGCCGCCGCCGCG